CTAAAGAAGGTTTATGTTTAAACTTGAGTAAAGGATCTCTGTATCAATGAATATTTCCTATTTTCCATAATATTGCATGAAAAACTGTTTACCAACTTGGTTTATACTACAATGGTTTTATTCACAATTTTCAGTGTACAAGTTTAGATAAACACCCAAGTACTTTCTAACTGTCCATGTGACATCAACTGTTCAGCATTTGCTCATAACACTTGACCATACATAGTCATCTTGGAATTAGTCAACAATAGCAGCAAATCTGTCACATAATGAAACAAGTGTTCTCGTATACTCACGTCAGCTGGAACTGCATGAACGAAACTTTCCTTGTATTTGGAAAAAACCACCATCAATCCCCCAAAATAAAACACATTATCTGCCCTCTCTGGAAAAAACAAATTGTATGATGAATGCTTTCACAACATATCAGATCCATGAACGTGTCCTTTGATCTGATCCCACACAAATCTTCATACAGATAGACCCTTATGCTTACAGTTACTGACCCCAAGACAAGCATAAAAGCCCATATTTATGAAATCACATGCAAAATCTATACCTCTTATTCTGACTTTCCTTTAGGTCCTCACCATTCAACACTGCAGCTTAAAGCATGAATTTACTTACTGCTTAGATTCTAGATCAAAACAAACACAAATGCTTATAGGATCAAGACACAGGACTGTTAGACTTCATTTCTTCCCATCAGCTTCATACGGGATGCATCACGAGTGCTTGCCCTTAAACTTCAGTTTTCAAGGCAATTACGCAACACTTAATAGCAACAATCGTTAGCCTATGATTTAAGAGTAAGCATTTATTTCAGAGCTACTGTAATTCTGATCTAACATTTAGAGTCTCACATCTACGCTAACAGATATTTGTAATTCACTTCTGACAGCTTTAGTGTTTTCTTTATCACACTTCCGTGTCTATGCTTTTACACCATAGTCATGACTGCAATTCCTGCTCATCATGAGCTTCTCTTTCATTTGCATTAGTCCTTGCACAGAGCAGTTTTACTTTCAAAGCAAGCTGCATTTCCCAAGCCTCATATATTTACAGAAAACACAAGCAGGTGGGCAGAGCAACTTTGAAGTTCATGCCTATTGTTGCAAACAAGCCCAATACCCTGATTCATAATGAACTTTAACCAACAGCCTGAGAAACTAGCATCTTCTAAAGGCTCCAGACTCCCTCTGCCTACGGAAGTAAAAATTGTTTTAGAGCAAGTTTGTTTTCAAGTTCACCAACCTTGACAGTGTTTCATGCCTCTTTTATCCCACATGTTATTTAGGATTCTTTTTTCCTTCATCTTGATGACAAACTAGTTTTGATGTGTGTGTTCAATTATTCTTTCTTAGCATTTGAATGTCAGTCTGACTCTCCCCATGAGAAACCGAATACTAAACTGAGCGTTTTTACACAGTCACCGTTTTGATTAGTATTTGTGCTTTCACAACGCGTAAGAAAAAAATTATACTGCTACACATGAGAGGATAAGCTCTCCTTGGAAAAATATTCTCTCTGACTTAAGTAAAGGGTGGAAACAGATTCAAGATGTGTCAAGAATAGCATTCGTGTGTTTTAGGGGTACCAAAACTAAGTAACAACCTATATGCCTGTTTTAAATGTAGTTACATCCCAAAATATCTGCAAAATCTCAGGATTATTCAAGAAGCAGAATCCTGGCACACTAACACAGCAGTAGAGAAGGATGAAGCAGCTTCACTTTTCATTGAAGGTAAAGGTGACCTCAGCATGAAATCAAGACCCACAGGTGGCAGCTTCAAGTCTGAATTTAATGGGAAAAATAACTGATCTCAACTACACAAAATCCACCAAAATAAGTACTTCATTATTAAAAATGTTGCTCAAAACAAGAAGGAACTGAATATATAGTGAAATTTAAGTCTTGCAGGAAGTTGTAGCAGTGACAGTACTCTTAAAGAGCCCAGCATAATACATTTCTAAAAGATAAAAGTAATGAAATTCACTTGAAAGAAGAGAGTAGACTGCCATGAATGGACAAGTTATTATGGAGCCAAGATTTCCCGGTTATACCTATTCCTTAAAATAACACACCAAGGCATTTTCAGATATAACAACTTCTTTTTAACAGCAAAGTACATATCAATTCTAAATTTAAACTTATTCTATGTTATTCAAAGCAGGCTCTCAGACTACATTGTTTATTCTTCGCCTTCTAACTTTAATATTAAGGCAGTCATAATTGCTAAAGTGTTGTATTCCTAATAACCTAATACACAAGGATATTGAGTATTAGTCATATTTTCGCATTTCCATTCTCATGAAGTTTAACGAGCTCTTAGTAGAGACCAGGTATAGGCTCTAGCATGCTACATGATTGTCCTTTTAACAGGCAGCCATGATACAGCTGATGCCCCCCAAAAAATTTAGACTATATTGACTTTGGCAGCACCAATCAGACTGTGTGGCACAAGACAAAAATTGAAACTCCACTCCTTTATAACAGGACAGAGCTGCATCACACTTTCAAGGCAAAACAATGTTCTTAACTGCATAAAAGAGATCACATTGTTGAACTTCATCAACGGACTTAGTTGACTAAGACATTGGTCTTAGTTGTGCCAGCTAGCACCCAAGCTGTCCACTGCAACCACCTTCACCCCTGCTTTTTAACCAGGGATAATTTTACTGTTGAAGGCATTCAAAGGTTTAATTTACAAGCCTCCATTCATGCTCATAGCTAACCTGGCAGATCTAGTGGAAGCAGCATTTGTGCTATTCAGACCAAAAGATAACACCACATTTGCCCACAGAGTAAATAGGAAGGAAGAATCCTACTCTCACTCAACTTGATCTTCTGTAAGTTGCACATAACGCAGTAACTTTCCAACGCTTTTTATGTTCAGGTGGTACTGCTGGGATCAGCAGCTCCTATGCTGCATGCCCAAACCAAAGGCTGCATTTGGGTGGCAGTTCAAAATACTCACTCCTTTGAAGTAATTTATGTCCCCAAACCAAGGGGACACATGACTTCCACATGACTCAGCATGGATTCACTTTGCCCTCTGTAAAAACACAGCACCTGGTCCAAAACGATACATTACACCTCAAATAATTTGCAGTGCCCTGTTTCCCATACGCTCAGAGCACAAGCAGAGCAATGGCTTGTCAACCAACACCACATGACATGGATTTGCCTGGCAGTAGTACACAAACAGTTGGTCCCAGCAGCCTCTATTAGAGGTTTTGCCAGGTAAACCCTCTTCCACAGGGGAATAGTTGTGTTGGAGGGACAGATGTTCAGGGTGGTTAGTCATTGTTCAAGGGTTTTGTTCAGCAGCTACCTTCAATGCACATCTTAAGAGGTTCTATAATGAAGAACTATGTTTTAGAAGAGCTCAGGCATTTCCTTCCTTTCCTTAAATTACTACTGGATAATGCGCTGTGGTAATAACAGCAGTACAGATGGGGTAAGCTTACCACAATCTCCCATTAGCAGACACCTTGTCCACACTATTTAAGACATTCCTTGGAATGTTACAAACTGAAACCAGTATTTCTTCCCATAAAGGCTTTCTTTGTCTCTGCTGTATTTCAGCCCAGAATTATACTACACATTATCTTAAATTAAAACAAATAAGAGTTCAAAGTTAGTCCAGTTCAAGAGGCTAATAAACAAAGGGGTCATTGGACTGCTAGTTTCATAGCCTGCATAACTTTAGAGCTAGCACACAGGAGAGGAGGAAAAAGAAGAAATCAGTTTTAGCCAAAACCAGCCAAGGATCAATAAACACTTTCACCTCCTCCTTCCTTCTGTGATTGCTTCCTGCCATCCTCTCCACTCACCTAGCACTAACAATCCTCTGATTGTGTTTGCTTTCTTTACAGAGCGCTCCACATAGTAAGGCATCAGGTTTAGAGCTGCAGTAAGTCAGACTCTGATCTTGTCCATCACAAAACACTACAGTTATTCCAACACCTCCAGCAATGGACTGGAGCGTAAAAACGCTACTATGTTTAAGAGAGAACAGAAGCTTAGTAGCCCAGTAAAGAAGATCTAAGTTGATAAGATTAAAGACATTGCCACAGAGCAACAGATGTTGGCTAGAAGCTTACCTTTCAACTGAGGCAATGCCACATATGCATAAACTCCCTGGTTCACAAACTGCTTTTTAGCTTACAGCTCATGTTGAACAAGATGTACCAAAAAACAGCCACAGTAATAACGTATTTCAGAATCCTGCAGGTATACTCAAATGTATCAAAAACATCCAAAGATTGACAAGACAAAATATAGACGTTTAAGTGAAGCATCACCATGTGCAAAACTGAAAACTCATACGGGCAGTAAGTTTAAAGGGTTACTCTCATAATAACCATGACATCCAACATCAGTACTACACTTAGATCAGTGCATCATACTGAATTACTCAGTTGGTGGATTTATCCACTCGATACAGTCAGAACTCAGATGTCTCTTAACACATGGTTCAGGGAACAGATATGAACTGATGTCTCCAACTATTTAGGAAAGAAGCTCCAGTATAATACATCACCTATTTCTCACGTATGAAGTCTATGCACAGAGATTTGTCTTTGCTGACTGTCAGTGAAAAGATATCATGAACAATATCTATTTTCAGGACTGACACCAGCCTAAAGGATTCATATCAGCTAGCAAAACTGACTTCAGCTGTTACTCACATCTGTGCTTTTTTTGTGGACTACCATCCAAGCCTACCACACATTCTTAAACACAGGCTGTTAATAAAAAATGCATATATACATGCACTAAATTTATTTCTCTTTTAAAATAATTATCTTATAAAGTAAGTACAGTTAAACAAAACAAACAATACAAGATTGGTTAAAACCAGGCATCCTGCAGCTTAAATAAATACTAAGGAAAGACAGCTCTATAGTTCAACTGCCTGAAAGAGCCCTATGCTTTCAAGTTGCAGAAAGTGTACTGAAAAGGAACTCTACACAATTTCTGCATGCTGACCTACCAGAGTGTGATGGGTCCCATCCACATTAGTGCCAGACTTCTGTGTTTTCAGTACATCACCATAATCTGCTGCATCAAAGTTAGTCTTCCACACCATCACCTGCAGAAGAAAGTTCTCTATTAAAATTTTCCATCTACATTTGCTTAAAGGTCAATTTTGTCAACACATCAGAGAAGAGTCAGCAGATGCACACCAAAGCTTACCTAAGAAAGCTTTGCCATCGATTAAATTAAGGATGTTATTTGTAAATATGCTACTGAATACAGACATAGCATAACTGTGTTCTCAGTGGGTAAGTGATCTCTTCCAACATTTTTTGGGTCAGGAAACTCATGAAAGTAGAGCTACCTACAGAACTTCAAAGCAACATGCAGAATACACCATTAAACCCACAAATATATTAAAATACCATGCTTAGCATTATAGCACTTATCAGCCACACCCCAAACAACTAGTCACTGGTTTACCATGAGATTCATTCACTTTGAGACTAGTATTAGAGATCTTCAGCTAGTTTGTCAGCTAAACACTACAATTAAATCCCACTTATAGGCATCTTCTCTCCATAACGCAGTATTTATTTCAGAAGAGAAGAAAGGCCTCTAACATATAAACCACTTCAACATATCAAGAGCAAATTTATGGAGTAAAATCCTTAGCTCTAAAAGTCTAAAAAAGTTTAAGAGCAATCAATCAACTATTTCAGAAGTCTGAAAGACACCTATGAAACAGGCAGTTCATCTTGGAATAAACATTAGTGTTTATTCTTCACTTACAAGTTTTCATCCCTGCTTTGCGTGAAATAAAAGCATTTTTCTTTCGTAGTTGCATAGTTAACCAACGAGGCCATTCCATTGTGTAACAGAAGAGAGTGATGCTCTTCTATTGTATAGATTGTCTCTTCACAGCTAGCAAAGGTGCTATTACAACAAAGATGGGCATTGCCACCTAATTTAACCTGGGGATTAAGAGCAATGCAACAGAGCTCGGTGAAGACCGATGACAGAAAAATAGATACTTACTCAGACCACTACTTTGGGTTGAAGTCCGTCCATATCTTCAGCAGGGCAACTCACACTAACTATGTTAAAAGTGGCATATATTTGCAGCACAGAGTGCAAATGGCACCTTCCGATTCCAGCAGGCTCATACAACAGGCCTGTTTGCAGTTCAGTAATTAACTTTTTTTTTAGACAGGCTACACGACTAGATTACCCCACAAAAAAACCAATTCTTTTTGACCTGTAGAGATGTTCTTAATTATTATTTCTCATATTTCTCTTGGATTCAGAAAGCTAGTATTCAGCGAGGTCCATTCCACTGAAAAAGTTTCTTGTATATACACAACTGGCAATTTAAGACTAATGCTGTTTTTAACACATACATACATTGTATGTTAAATTTCTTTCTCCATACATGAAAGGAAGCACAGCCTGCATTTTCAGATACAAACCTAAGAGGAGAGAGGCAGTTCCTTCATGGGAGCTAAGAAAAAGAAAGCCAACAGCCACCCTTCCCAATACACACATTCAGAAACACAGAGCCTTGAGCTACACAATGGAAAGGGCTGCTAAAGAAGTCTATTATGATCCCATACCATAAACGTACCTTTACAAAGCACCTTTCTGGGCAGGCACTGCCATTCAGTGTTTCAGTTTAACAGTACCAGGCGATACTTTGCAATGAGCATTACTTTGTTTAAAGAAATCCCAACCACAGGAAAGACTAAGAGGGAGCTGATAAAACAAAAGCCATTTGAAAGAATCTACTTTACACAACAGAAATGCAGGCTAATACATTCTCTTAAGCTAAAAGTGAAATAAATAAAAAGTCAGCCTCTTGGCTATGCCTAGAAATTGAAGACAAAATTTCTGAAGTTTTCTATGGAAAATAAGTAACAATGAATTGCTATATAACTGCAACTTCCAGCTACATCAGGGCTTTTAAGGAAGCGAGAAACAACAGCAAAGAGGTATGTTTATTTCTTGCATTAGATAAGCATTTCAAGAGCAAACCGTAATAGAATGACCCCAATATAATTTTATAAGACAAAAAAATTGATGCATCTCTTCTAAACAGTCTGTTTAAAGGCTTAAATAAAAAGTGATCTTAAAGAGACAGGATGACAAGCTATGCCATCTACCTCAGCAAATTTATAAAATACAGTTAAAATGCAGCAGCTCACGAAACTGTCATGAGCTACAACCCTGGGACTGGTTTCCTCCTTGATAGCATACAACTGAAAACATACATTACGTAGAGAACCCAAGCAGGTCACTTCAGCATGGTCCAGACATACTGGGTATGTTTTTGCTTTCCCCCACTGACAACAGAAATCAAAACCCAGCAGCTCTTAAAGAAACGTGAATCTGGATTATAACATGGAACCAGAAGTAAAAGGAAGACATCTCCCCTCCTGCCCCAGCTGCTTCATCCACAAAAACCCTTTACCAGCAGTACGAGACACCCAGGCTCTTAATCCTAGTGTACATATCACGGTCAGCAGAGAAAAGTCCAACCCTGACCCAAAAAGCTGTGCAACCGCAGCATTAGCACAGCTTTGCACCAGGTTCCCATTAATAAAGAGACCTGCAGCCTATATTCATGTCTAATCAGACTCAAAACCATCTGGTCTCAGTCACTGGAGACGGCTTAACTACAGTGTCTCAAATAAGACTGAGAGGACAGGTCTGTGGGAGGAGGACAGCACTGAGGAATATGAAATACGGAGCATTGTAGACCAGTGGAGCCTGGAGGAGTATTCAAGGGAAGCATCCCTGCCTGCTTGCCTTGTCCTTAGGCTCGTGTCTCAGATTAGCCAGCGGCAGATCAGGAGACAATCCATCAGCATAGCCCGTGATATTCAAGGTATCTCAACACAGCCATTTGTACAGCCATCTAACTTATTCCCCAGCAGCAGATGCCTCAGAAAGGCATATAACAAGGGCTGTATATAGGGTAATAGTTCCTCTGTTGTACATACCCATTCCCAGACAATCCAGCTGAAGTGCTTCCTCACTAAGAAAAGTCTATGTTTAATATATCTCACTATTTTTAATATTTGTTTTCCAAAAGCAGTAAGATGCCTAGAAAACAGAAACAAGGCACAAAACTATCAAATTAAACCAGTCACATACCTGTTCATCAGAACCTCCAGAGGCAAATAAGTCTCCAGCTCTTGAAAAGGCCACACAGGTGGCTGGCCCCTGCAAATAGATTTAAAAGATAGGTTTAAAAAAAATGTGAAAGAAAAAGTGTTACAAAGCTCCATTCATTACAGCTTTACAAGGTATTTCTCATTTGACATCAGCAATCTAAAGGCAAAACTTAAAAAGCTCTTATCTGTCAGGTAAGTGGGCCACAATTAACATGCTAAGCTTGCTGGCACGCACTTACCATTTCCCATATTTTTGCCCCCAGTTTAAGACATTCACTTTTCAATATTCATGGCATTAAGACAGACAGGAACAAACCAAGTTTTACAGCTACAGGCTTTTCCTCCTTCTCTCTCAATCACTCTCACTTCCCTTTAGAATTAGAAATACCTAAAACTCCTGCTCATCTATTAAAAGCAGTGACACTTTTGAATTTTGTTAAATGCAGCCTTCAGTTAGCCACCTGATGGAAAGGTTTGAAGTGGAAAAGGAGGTTTAAACACACAGATAGACACAGAGCAGCATCAAAGGGCATATTGAGAAAGATTGTTAGACGTAAAATACCCTCAACGCCTGACAATTCTAGGCATTCACGAATCGTAAGTCATGTCCTATAAAAAAAATGTTTTTTTAAAACAAATTTGAGGAGTGATGAATCTACCTTTCAGGCTCCAACTATCAGGCCTTCAAAATTTACATTTTCCAAGCTCCTCCTCACACCATGAAAACTAGAACCATGAAAGGAAAATGCACTTAGCCAAGATTTTCACATAATTATGGAAGTCCAGGGGCCAGAACTTCAAACATTACCCAGGATCTTCAAGACACTGACACCACAAGACAACATATTTCATGGACCACTGCACGCACCAGATTTGCCATGGAAAAGAGTATCTTCTCTCCACATATTTTCCCAACAGCCTTTCTTTGAAAATACACAGCTGTCACTAAGGGACACATAAAACACATGACTGATGATGAAAACAGCCAACAGGCAGGGCTACAGGCAAGAAGTGAAAGAATCAGTTCTACCACAAAGGAAAAGGCTGTGGTTTTTTTATATACAGCCATCACATGCTCTCCTATATATTTCTAGGATATTCCATGCAAACTGCTCACTGCAAAAGACCCAAGGCTTAAAGCTCTTGCCCACTCCACCACAATATAACTTCAAAACATGCCTGACCAGCTATCAACCAAAGCAATCAATTTACATCAATTAATTCGGCCAAGGTTAGAAGCATTTTAAGTCAAGGAATCTGTACAAGCAGATTCATTATTCAGAGCAGAATCCAATTACTCATTTTATTTTAGACTTGGCAGTCAAGAAGTCCACGAAGTACAAGACCACTGTTTCCAGAACAGGAAGAAGAAAAAGCCAAGGCTACCTGAGGAGCACTGGAAAGAAGAGCAGGTCACTGAATGGCAGACAAAGCAGCATCAGCAGAATATACTGTATTTGTACATTAACTTCTACTTAGATAGTACTACACAATACAGCAGAGTTTTGCAGGAGGCAGTTATTCTCTTTGGATACCAACTAGCAGGACAAAGTCACAGGGGGGACATCCAAAGCCATCAAAACCAAAACAGAATCACTGCTTCATATCCCCTCACGCATGGAGCGTGTGGTCAAGCAATGACAGAGGCTTCAAACAAACAGGCACCTGCAGCAGCACAGGAGAATGCAAGCAGCAGGCAGGCACTCCTTACACTACCATTGTTTGCCATGGTTAAGCTACAGGCTAGTGATCTGTGCAGGTTTGTGTTAGTTGTCAGGTTTTTAACTGAAGAATGGAAGGTTGGCTTAAAACTGCTTTTCTCTTAGTAGTTTCACAGAAGAGATGCCAGAGTTAAAGCATTCTGGATCATCTTTGTATGGCACAGGTGCTTGCATTTTGAAGAAGCCTTGCTCTTAAAACAAGTCAGTTCTGAGAGACTTTAAATGGTGCTGACTGCTACGGCACTGCTTGAGTAAAAGCATGCATTTCACACCGCGCATCTATTTTAATACGTTTCCCACCTTTCAGAAAACACACAGGAGGACGTACATGGGAAGGATGAGGCAGGTGCTCTGAGATATAGTTAAACAGAGCTGGGAAATCATTACGTGTGTTCGAGCACAGGCACAACAGACAAACTGTTCTGCCTAGAATAAACAGGACACAGATAGTGAAGTTTTATGTCAGCTACTGAACATCTTTCTTTGCAGACTGTCCTAAGCCTTAGCTTTTGCCCAAGCTGAAATGGGCAGAGGCAGGAACGAGCACTTCCAGAGGCTGCCTACAGCCAAGTTTGCTGGGAAAGCAAGCTGAACTAAGAACAGGCTGAAACAAAAAAAAAAAAAAAAACACAAAAAACACAACCAGAAAAGCCACAACACAACCACCAGAAAACCCCACCACATGAACACACACCTCCTGACAGAAGTAGTTATTCTCCTTCAAGTAAAATCATGTATCTCAGAAAGCAAGTAAGAAGCTTCTCCTCACCCTGTATAAGTTGCAAGGATGGACTATTCTATTAAGAGTTCACATCTTCCTAATGGGCGTCACATGGAAATCTCACATCTAGTTTGTTCTGGTTTCCCTTCTCTCTCCTACTTTGTAAAAGTGAACTCTTCATTATAAATCCTGAAGGTAGACTAATACCCAAAGACTGCATTTGGCATAAACACCCAACTCTCACTGCAACCTGTGACCCACAGTCCTGCGTGGTTTCAAATATGCTGGCACAAGGTTATGCCAGCAAAACTAGAGTCTTGATGTGGTCACTCCCAGTGTGAAGAGTTTTAGCTTCCTTAAAACACATTAAGGTATTTCCATATTATCATTTCACCTGCAGTGATTTTGAAAGGTTTTCAGGCCTTCTAATAGCAAAATCTTACTCGAGAGATCTTGCCACAATTGATCTAGTAGCAGCAATTTAAAAATGCATGCGCAGTCATTAGCGTGACTAAGCTTGTTCAACTAACACAGCATTAAATAATGCAGATATTTCAAACCAAAGACACCGCCATCAATCAGCTGAGACAAAGCCTGCCTCTGCCTTCTAGTCCCACCCACCTTCCCCAGCAGTTCAGCTCTCTGACCACACTGTCAGGAATGGAGACTCTAAGAAAACATACAAAAGCAGAAGACAAATAAGCAATAAGGAAGGGCAGAAACAAGTACATAGCCAGAAAACTGCACAGAGGTGAACACTGCTCAAAGATAACAGAGCTGAGGATACAGAAGCTGCACTCTGACTGTAATAAACCAGTGAGGTTGGGAGGGCAAAAAAAAAAAAAACAAAACCCAAAACCACAAACATTCAAGACATTGCTTAAGACCAAAAAAAAAAAAACACCCAAAAACACAAACATTCAAGACATTGCTTAAGAAAAAATGTTCAGGAACAAGTGAGGAATGGAGAGGAGCAATGTTTCACAAAATTATTTTTATCAGTTTAAGTATTTCAGTGTATTTAAACAAAATTTAGCACAATACAAATCACATTAAAACAGGCAATGAACTGACTCCAAAGTCACAGCATTCTGGAGGGGAAAAGAAGTACAACAGAACATATTTCTCCCAAAATAGAAACTGATATCAAAGACTGAATGTGCCTTTATAAATTGAAAGAAGGGGAACAAACAAGTCTATAGACACAACATCCTCTACAGATTTGTTGACACAAATTAAGTGAAAAGTATTTTTGCTACATACATTTACAGCACTCTCCCCAGATATAACAGGTTTGCTATAGCAACATACAAATAATAGTTTGCCAAATACTCTCACAATTTAATATAAACACACAATACAAAAGTAAAGCTACACATGACAGTGATTAAACACAGCCTAACTCCCATTTGTTCCAGGTAAGCACGGCAGAGATCCACCAGGTTTCTGATGCAGTCCTGGACAACAGGTACATAGTTGGAGACTGAAGAATTCAAATCTTACTTCAGATTTTTTTTCCCCTTTAAACTTACTGTTTTCATCAAAAAAGTGTCAGAAAGCAGCAGTTGCATAGTCCTCTATACAAGTTGCAGGGAGAATTTTAAGCTTATTTCCCATACAACTAGAACATGTGTGATGCAGCAACCTTCTAAAGGACCACTTTATTCCTCTTTCTGTAGCAAGATACAAATGCCCTTCTATTAGTATTTCCTGAGGGTTCAGAAGTTCTAGTTTTGCATCCTCATTGTGCTCGCTGCTGCACACAAGCTGCTAGCACCAGTCCCCAAATTCCTACAGCTTCTTGCCTCAGATTAAACAGCAAGCTGCAGAAAGAAGAGATTGGACAATGAAATACATTAAGTCAGCAGTAAGGAACATTTCTATTTAGTCCTCAGCAAGCCAACAACATGAGGACTGTCGAGCTTTTGCGCATGTCAAAGTTTGAAATTATAATAATAGTTTTGGTACTGGGAGAGATCTGCAGAAAGTTTGGGAAAGTACAGACGGAAGCAAAAAAATCATCCACTGGAAATGCTGAGTGGTAAGGACATTGCCACTAATCAATACTCAACTCATCTCCTCTAGTGAAAGAGTACCACCAGGCAGGGTGGAGATAAGCCCCAGGGAGCCTTGAAAAGGTCAAGTGGCTCACACACTGGATGCCGCAAAGAAACTGGAACCAAAAAAGGAAGCCATACAGAAGGAATGATAACAGGATCAAACCTAGTCCTTCGCAGCAGCGTTCCCAATGAACAAGATTCAGGCAAGGTCAGATAGCCATGCCACGGTAGCTGAAGCACCAGGTGACATCCCACTTCTAGCTGCATACGTAGGTAAGAAGGGTGAAGCACAGCACGTTACACAATCTAATTTATGTGCAGACTATCCCCCAGAGATAGTGATTATACCTTCTCCTTGTTCTCCGCTTCCTACAGAAGGAGGCTAGTGATCACAAGGCCTTTATGGCCCTAGCAATCTGCAGGTTGATCAGCTTACACAAAACATTAAATGTGGCCTTAGAAAAAGATGTTCAGAACTATTCTGAATGGCTTGAATGCACTCATCACCTAGAGAGATGGGATCCAAAGCCAGGACATGGATTACAAC